GGGATGGGAGATCCGTAGAGAATGGATTGAAGCAGTGGGGGAGGGGGGCGTCCCTTCTCGCTACTTGTACAAGCAATCAAGCGGTTAGTAGCCAATCTAATTGCTTGTACAAGAGAGATGACCACTGGATCTAAAAACTGGTACCTGGGTGAAGCCTGCAGTTGCAGGCATCACTCCGGTACAGCCACGGAAAGTCCAGTGATGTACAGGTACTTCACTAGTCCAGAAGCAAATTTTGGCATGTCAAGCAAACTACACATAGGGTGCTTATGCTCTTAAGGAAGGTGGCCTATGACTGCATGTGTACATGTACAGTCTCAGAATGACGTTGTGCCATGCATTTTAAAAATGTGTGACTGTCATTGAGAATGAAATCAACTTTGTGTATGAGGGGCCCCAAACCTGAAATGCCCCAGGCCCCCAAGGTCTAAATCTGGCCCTAGCAGTACCTCTATGCCTGTACATCACATATACAGATACAGGGATTCTTTCTGTGTATAACCATCTCCCCTCCACAGCATATCCTAGGCAATGCGTGTTAATGAATGAAGACGTGCTACAGCATACTGCATTGTGGTGTAAGTGGGCCTTCGCTGAGTTTACATTGGAGATATGTGGACAAGTTTGATGCAAATGGTGCTGAACACAGGATTCTTCTTTAAATACCAGATTTATTAAAATTACATTATGCACCTTTTCAGGCTATTTACTAGAAAATGTGCTTTTTATATTTTTTTAATTTTCTGCAATTGTATATTTCTTGAATAGGTTTTTCATGATTGCTTCTTAAATCCATGCCAAAACAGTGGAACTTGCAAACAAGTTGGAAGTGGATACACTTGCACATGTCTTAAAGGCTACACAGGTATTTTAGTTGTTGTAAGTTATGGGGTACTTGTATAATTGGAAATATGTCTACAATATACTTCAGTCTTATGCTAACTAGGTAATTGTTGTGATAAAGTTCCTGACGAGTTGGGCCTGTAATAACACTTTTTCAAGGTTGTAAAGCATAGCAATGCACACAGCTATAAAAAAAAAATGCCGTCCAAAAAAACTGTTTAATGCAACTAGATAGAAAATTTACACAAATGATTGTAATGTATGTAACATCAAAGGGAATATCAGACCAGCCAATCAGAAACCAGTCCAATTTTTGCTGCTGAACAGGTGGAGTCTAGTAGATACCTCCATCCATGCTAAAAAAGGTGAATGGGGGAATCTCCCCTGCCAGCTATAGTATTCAGACAGCCACAGCATATGCAGCTGTTTGAGTACCTGAATAGTGACTGCAATTGTTCAGGCAACAGTTTTCCACCTAACTACTTCCATTTTCCAGATAAAGTTTGTTGAGCAGGGAGGTGCCAACAGGGCCACCTACAGCTCGAATTTGTGAACAATTCAGCAGGGATCAGACAAAATGACATGCATGCCCAGCATAAGTGACTGGCAGTAAACTGTTTATGAAGGGAAGGCTACTAGAGAAACAGTGGGATGGAGCATTTGGATATGTGGATGCATGAACATATATGGAAGACACATGGGTGCATATTTAGAATGGACATGCAGTATATGCAGGGTATGTGGAATGTATGTTTTTCTGGTAAAATCATGAGAGTAAAAGCCTATGGTTCTGAAGGGTTTTATTATTATTTATTTATTTATTTTATAATAAAAATATTATTATTTTTTTTGTATATATTCTGTTGGAGTTTATATCTAATAAAATGCTACACTCTCCAGAGGAGAACCAAGGTTGCTTTAAGGTTGCTACATGCTTTCTCCATCAGGGTGTAGCAACCTTCAAGCAAGTTCCAGGGAACCTTGGTTCTCTTCCGGAGAGTGTAGTGTTATCTTCTTGGATATAACAGCTTATGGTGCTTTATAATAACTATAGCTATGGCACCTATCACTCTTAAAACCATGCAATGATTGTTATCATTGTTGTACTAAGGTGAATATATATATGCACATGGGTGCATATTTAGAATGGACATGCAGTATATGCAAGGTATGTGGAGTGTATGTTTTTCTGCTAAAATCATGAGAGTAAAAGCCAATGGTTCTGAAGTTTTTTTTTTTTATTTATTTAATAATAAATATTATCATATTTTTTGTATATACTCTGTTGGAGTTGTTATATCTAATAAAATGCTACACTCTCCAGAGGAGAACCAAGGTAGATAGAAACTTGCTTTAAGGTTGCTACATGCTTCTTCCTTCAGGATATAGCAACCTTCAAGCAAGTTCCAGGGAACCTTGGTTCTCTTCCGGAGAGTGTAGTGTTATCTTCTTGGATATAACAGCTTATGGTGCTTTCTAATAACTATAGATATGGCACCTATCACTCTTAAAACCATGCAGTGTTTGCTAGCAAGGTGAATATATATATATATATATATATATATATATATATACACACACACAGTATAGCCGCACAACACACATCCCTGTCCTACTGGAGGGAATTTTCCACCTTGATGATTATGTGTAAATTGTATGTATTTATTATTAACAGGATAAAACATACACATTTTTACCAGCAAGTGGAGCTTTATGCTTCATTTCACACATTTTCCCCCTATCTTCTTATTTACAGAGCACAGGGTCAAAGCAGTGAGTAATCAGTTTCTCTCCTTCCACTCTGTAAGACTGTGTTCAGTGCTGCAAACACACACATAGACTCAAAAGTCAGGCATTTTCTGCTTTGCTATATCATAAGCTAACCCATAGTGCTTTTGTCATCCTTTGTTATTTATTAAATGTTTAGTTGAAAAAATATATATACAATAACATTGACCCAGAACCATTGCATATTCCTTTTATGTAGATTTGATATTTCAGGTGAGCACAGACAAGAGCCTAGGTGCAATGGATGCACCCCAAGGGCCACTTGTTGCCCTTTAGTATGTATTGTGTGTCCCACAGACCCAGCAGTCAGTAGTTGGAGTCATGGTTTGTAAAGCCGTAGTTGTAAAGATCTCTAGCAGTCTCATGTACCATATATCTGACCTCTTTTTGTGTACTGCAACATGTTGCCTGTTTTCAACCCTACCTACCTGTAGCCTAACCCTACCTGTAGAATGTCTCCATCTCTGACAGCCTACTGTAGCATTACATACACTAAATATTATGTCTTAATAATGCTCTCTGCAGTACCAGCAGTTGGAGGCTATAGCTAGTTAGTGTTACTTCACCTATAGCAGCCCATGTTTCCCTAAGGCATGCAGGCCTACTGTAACTGTTGCCCCAATGACTTAGTACACAATGCTTTAGTCTCTGACCGAGTGTTATGAGGGGACTGAGCAAGAATAAAGGAAGGAGTATTGTGATCTTCAGTAGCATCATGCGTGGACTGTAGCACAGCAGGAGAGTAGCTGACAATTAAATCCAGAGGCAGGTGGTGGTCAGAGACAGGCAGAAGTTGGGGCAGATAGCAGACAATAAATGTAATTCAGGCACAGGCAGAGTTCATGGCAGGCAACAGATGATAGCTGTAACCAGGAACAGGCAGAGGTAAGGGCAGGCAGCAGACAATAAGTGTAATACATGGATAGGCAGAGGTCAGGGCAGGCAGCACTGTAGAAAGTAATCCAGTAACAGGAAACAGCCAGGGCAGGCTAACAAGGGACAGAATCATAATTTTGAGAATTAATAAACTGTGGACTTGTGATACTTAAATAGAGTGGAGCGGCGCAGACTGCATAGATGTGTGGTGCAGGAATATATGAGAAGCTCCTAACAGTCATAATATGGTTATATCTGGGGCCACAATTCAGGCCCCTCTTTTTCTAGAAATCTGACCACCACTGGGCTAGAGTAAACATAGTCTCTTAGACCTACTTTACACTTAAAGAACCTATGAGAACAGAAATATGGAAAGTGTCATTGCTGATCTCCTCCTAAACATACCATTTTAAGGGCAGTTTCTGGGTTAGATTCTTTCTGAATCACTGACTTGGAACAAGGATACACATTACAAAATCAAAATGCATGATCTGTTTATTTCATTGCTTCAAAAGATTGTAGCAAGTGAATCAGGATAAGAGCTAGACAACTAACATACATAGAAAGAGAAGTCAGCAAGGATAGCTCCGTAATTCCTCAGCACAGGTTTCCTTTTTTTTACTACAAAACTGTTAGAGGTACGGATCACGTTTTTACCCCAAATGATAGTTAATGAAAAGTCACATAACCTATTCAATTCCTCAAACCTCTAAATCCTCCAGCTGCCTCTGTAATAGTAAGAATCTATTCTGACATGAGCAGATTTTGGTTTAACAGAATTAAAGTCCATTCATTCTATTGTGTGGAGTTTAGTTACTTGCAAGTCTCTTGATGGGCAAGCTGTTTTCATGTGCCCAGGGCAGGTGTCCTTTTGCCCTCTATATTAACACTGCCCTGGATGCAGGCAACAAGTTATGTTCAAACACAAGAATTATCACCAGTAAGAATCAAGCAGAACCTGAAGCTGATTTTAGGACATTATGCTGAAGTTTCACAGAAATAAACATTATTCTTTTTAATTCATGTTTTATGTGAAGAACAGATGGCTGAAAAGCCATTTTAGTGATGTCACCATTAGAAATCTGCCTCTAGAGAGGATGGTTGGCAGATTTATAGTATTCGTCTAATTAAATAATACTTTCTTTTTGCTCTGCACTACTTTCCAAGGCTCCATTTACATCTATTGTTGTGGAAATAAATGGTAATATGCTTGTGCTCAACAATTAACAACCATGGAAATTTGGAACTAGGGTTAAATATAAAAGGCAACATAAATTAATATGCTGCATGGATTTATTATTAATAAAACACTACCTTTCTAGAAATGATTATTGTCCCTTGGCTGCAAACTGAAATATCTAATCGGCCAGAATGGCACATTTGCAAAGTACATGCACTTCAGCAGTTTGAAGCATGCACTTTCTCTTATTACGTACTTTGGTGCTTTAGTGTTTTTTTTTATTCTTTCAGGTACAAAATGTGAAATCAACATTGATGACTGCAAATCCATGCCTTGCAGAAACAATGGAATTTGTAAAGATGGGATTGGAAAGTTTGAATGCCAATGCGCTGCTGGTTTTAGAGGTAAAAATAAAGGTCCCATTTACACTCAAGAAAAACAAACACTAAGACAGGCTCAGTTCACAGAGTGCACTAAGGCATAGTTTACACATGTGATCTATGGTAGATCACATAGATCACATGTGTAGATCGCATTTCTCCTGTCCTTTAGGTGCATGTCTGAGCAAAAGAAAATTCAGTACAGGTCTGCAATACATACAAATTTTAACATTTTATTTCCTAAAAAATTTTGCAAATGCAAACGTTACCTTGTTGATCTGTGAATGAGTGCCTACAAGTCCCAACACCCTTAGTGGCTGTCGGCTTGTAGTTTTCAATGAACTACCATGGTGCTGTGGAGCTCCATGGTAGTTAATCGAAGATTCCTGTCAGTATATCTGCCTGACAATACATCCCATACAGTAAGCAGATATTCTGAGAGGTCTGCAGGAGACCTTCATGGCATCAGCGATCTACTGATCACTGGTGCAGTGCTTTCCAGGCTCCTTTGGACAAAAAGAATAACTGCACATTTTTTACTTGCAAAGGAACAATTGAGTACTGTCCGTGATACTTTTTTTATTTGCACTAACATGCAATTTTGAGGACAAGCTTTCGGGGAATGTCCCCTTCTTCAAAGTCCAAGCAGTACTTTACTTGCAAACAAATGTGCATTTATTATTTTTGTCCAAAAGGTGAACTTATCCTTTAAAAGACATTTAATGTATCAATAAGCCTCTAGCAGGTGGCAACCTTCCAGGCGGTCAATGGTGACCAAGCCCCTTCGCATGGATGTATTGGAAGGTGTTTGAAACCAGGACCAGGGGAACTCCAGGAAGAGCCAGCAGAAGCAGCAGACTGAGTGTGTATTACATAGATGAGAACTACAGGGAAGTGTTGCAGGCCCACAAAATGGCCATGATGATGTCATGTGGGATGTTTGATGTGATGTCGATGAGCATGGTCACACTGTCCTACTAATGGTTAGCCGACAGCTAGTCAACAAAATTGACAGAAGCAGCATTGTGTTTCATTCCAAAACTGAGTTTACTTCTGTGAATAGTTCTGTAAAACTGCAATACAATCACATAAACTGAAGTTACAATATGCTTGTAAACATGTCTCTTACAAATGCATACCCACAAATCACATAAATAAATACATTGAAATGCAATCTAGATATACATTATATATGACTTTAACAAACAGTTAATGAACTTACAAACATGTGTATCAAAGAGAGAGAGGAGGCCTTTACTGATGCTTTCTTCCGGAAGCTAAAATGTCTGTGGACTGATGTGTAGGTGAAAATTCCTGTTTCCTGTTTAAGAATAGAATAGACTGCAGTTGCAGTGAACACCCAGTAGGTGGCTCCCTACTCAACACAATAATGTGATACACTGAGCTATACAGTACAGTGCTTATGCATTTTCAGGTGTGCCCCCTTTGTCAAAGCACACCCTGAAATGCATAACCACACCTTCCGACATCACACATGACATCATCACGTCCATTTTGTGGGTCTGCAACACTTCTCTGCTGTCCATAGCAGTTCTTAACCATGTGATATGCACACTCAGTCTGCTGTTTCTGCTGGCCTTCCTGGTGTTCCCCTGGTCAGCTTCCTGGTTCCAAACACCTTACAGCATATCCACGCGAAGGGACTTGCTCAACATTGACCTCCTGGAAGGTTGCCACCTGCTGGAGACTTATTGATGCACCTTTTAATGTCTTTTAAATGTGAGTGTATATTTATTGTTTTTTTAATTTCACCGATATGCTTTCATAAATGCTACACTTAGGTAGAGGCACTTTTCTCCTTATTTTTTCTGTTTGCTCCAAATTATACTTTACTCTTGTGTTCAGCACTCCAACAGCACTTCAATCTCTAGGGCAATACAAACCTGATTCTGACCCATGACTAGTCTCTCCAAAACAAAAAAAAATGTTGCATGGTTAAAGCAAGGTTTTGTTTATAGAGCGTGTTGAGGGAATTTTGAAAAACAGGGGAGAGTCATGTAAACCTAGGGAGAACATACAAATTCAGAACAGAGAGATTCATAACTAGAGTAAAAAAAAAACCCAAAAGAACAGGAATCCAGTAATGCTACCCCCCAAGCTACTTTATTTCTTCAATCAAAACATAACACTGCATATAATTACATTTAGTACATGTTGTTGAAGACTGCCATCGGATTCATGCTCCCAACATAGCTCTCTAAAAGATGCAGAAATTTCATCAGCATTAGAAGACACAACATATAATCAGGCTTAAAGTATAACTAAAGGCAAAACTTTTATTTCTAGTTTTGGATAGAGTGGAGAGGGTTTGGAACACCTATCAGGTTTTTATTGCTGTCTGTACCCTGTTTAGGGAGATTCACCCTCTCCATTTGTCCTGTCATTATCATAAGTAAAAGAAAATCCCACATTTTTGGCTGTCCCCAGAAAAGTAGTAGAGTAGAAATCTTCCAATGGGGACACTAGTACTGGGAATACCCCAAGGCATTCCCTTTAATTTGTAGGGATTTCCTCTGACTACCTGTTTTGGCTAGGGTACAGGATGTGTACATAAATATCCCCAGTGGACACAGATGGCAAAAAAAGCATAACAAACATACAGGGGGCATAACCCTCCCTTACTTCATCCAAAAAAAAAGGTTTGACCTATAGTTCTAGTTTAAGTCCTCATGCACACTGGACATTTTTACAGCTGTTGTTTTTGGCTTTTGACATTTTTTTTCTACAGCTAGTAAACCCCCCAGCATATTATCCTGTGTGTCCATGCCACAGGCTGTAATCAACTTTTTTTGGTAGGGACGTTTTTTGGCTGGAAAAAAAAAACAGTACTAGTGGGTTTCTAGAGCAGTTCTTTAGCTGTAAAAACATTCTAAGGTTGAAAAGCGCTGTAAAACGCCGCAAACTGGAGTTTTTGGACTTTTTTTTACCCCCAAAACATTTTGGGAGGGTAAAAAAAAAACGCTAAAAACCACAAATGTGGAAAAATGCAGGAAAACACCACTAAACGCGGCAAAATGCCACTAAACGCTAATTCAAAAACGCAAAAAGAGATGAAAAACTCACATTTTTAACATGACTTTACACAGCTAATGTTATCAGCATCATCAAAACACCCAGTGTGCATGAAGCCAAAGGCTAATCAGGAAAAAAAAGCTTCTACTGTAGTCCAAAAAAATATATACAATGGTAAAAAACCTATAAATCCTTCAAAGTGATATCCTTTAATATATGCATGAATACATTAAGGAGATCTTTGATCATATCACCTCTCCAAGGGTTGTAATAAGATAAATATTGCACCCCTTGCATCCCTGCAGATCTGAACAGGACAGACAGGCAAATAGATAAACTCAACAAACCTCAAAACGTAATAAACAATTGTCAAAATCTATGATCACAAATCATATAAAATGAGCTCCAGGTTGGAGGATGTGACATTTAAGGGATACCATTATCCCATGTTACCATGTTTTTGATAATTACGGACAACCACAGTGGTAGTCACATTAATAACAATTTATATTGCAGTAGTTTGTTTTGTATGCATACATATTATTTATTAAGTTGTGAGGTCCCTTGAGTCTATCTATACAGGTGTCTTGTTGAGATCTGGACATGTTTTTTCAGTACCAGAGATTCCGAACCTCTTATTAGTGGCCTTGGGTCATAAAGCTGTTTTGTTATTTATCCCTCCAGACATGCAAGACTACTGACAAACATCTCACCGAAGATGAAAGGCTTACTGCTGCATTTAGAGAGAATGTAGAAATTTATTTCATATAGTTCTTTTATTATGTTCAGTAATAAAATATAATTATAAAAAGATTGTATTTCTTTTAGATCAAATCAGTATAAAATATTGTATATGAATATTTCATATTTACTTTTTTAAGGTAGCAAGTGACATGTTCTCTCTGAAGGCTCTATCTAATCTGTTCTTAGATGGGTGTGAAAATAGGTGTTCAGGTTACTCATGCACTCATCTGCAAACCTAAAGACTTAAAAAATAATATTTTTATGATTTTATACAAGTCAATGTGAAATATTTCATATGAATAGGCAAGGTTGATATTAGACTATGACTAGACTATGAAATGATCTGCAGCATAACCAGCAATTTCACTAGAGACTGTTGCTCTGACTTACACAATACTTTATAGTGAACTCAGTATAGAGCTATTCACCCTGAGGTGATCACAGAGGACAAGGGGGCACTCTTTATGTCTGCAGGAAAAAAAATGTAATCTCCAAACATGGGAAAGGTTTCTTCACAGTGAGAGCTGTGAAAATGTGGAATAGACTCCCTCAAGAGTTGGTTCTGGCCAGCTCCATGGATTCCTTTAAAAAGGCCTGGATTCTTTCCTAGATACACAGAATATAACTGGACACTAACATTTATAGGTAAAGTTGATCCAGGGAATATCCGATTGCCTCTCGGGGAATCGGGAAGGATTTTTTCCCTGCAGGAGCAAATTGGATCATGCTTTGCTGGGTTTTTTTTGCCTTCCTCTGGATCAGCTGAGGGTATAGGATTGGCAGCACAGTGGCTAAATGGTTAGCACTTCCAACTGGCAGTACTAGGGTCCCTGGTTCAAATCCCAACCCCGGCACCACCTACCTGGAGTTTGCATGTTCTCCCTGTGACTGCATGGGTTTCTTCCCACACTCCAAAGACATGCTCGTAGGTTAATTGGATCCTGTCTAAATTGGCCCTAGTATGTATATGTATGAATGTGAGAGTTAGGGACCTTAGATTGTACACCCCTTGAGGGTTAGGGACTGATGTGGATGTACAATATATATGTAAAGCGCTGCGTAAATTGACAGTGCTATATAAGTACCTGAAATAAATAACTTTTTTTTTTTAATGGTTGAACTGGATAGACTTGTCTCTTTTTTCAGCCAGACTAACTATGTAACTTGATATTTGATATATGATGTTTGTGTATTTTTTTCCTTGTAAGGTCCCTTATGTGAAGAAAACATTAATGAGTGTGCTTCACATCCATGTACAAATGAGGGAACCTGTGTGGATGCAGTAAACATGTTTCATTGTCGATGTCTAAATGGATTTCTGGGTAAGTGTGAGGATCCATTGTGGCCATTTATAAACATTTAAATAGCATGTGGAACATGTGGATATTTGGATTTAATATTATAGATAATATAAACTCTGTTAATAAACCAAAATAAATATCCACAAGTTCATATTACCAATAAATAAATATACATGCACATTCACAGTGCATATGGATTTTAGCAACTTTCCACATCTTCATACACATCATAATGACAATATGAAATCTCACGTAGTAAACCTAAAGTCCTAGTGACATGGATAATCATGGAGAGAGATAGCTGTGCCCTCCATGCAGAGCCTTTCACTTCAGGCATGGAGGTGAAGAGGGAGGAAGGGGAAAAAAGCTGGTGGCTGAAACAGCAGCCTGTACATTTCAGAAAGGGAGGCTCACTCTGTTCCCAGGATGGAACCCAAGCTGAAAACAACCAGGGACAAACAGCAAACAAGTGGGACTGTAGGCAAGTATGCAAAGCCTGCCCCTCCTCCTGGCTCTCTCCTCCCTGCTCCTACTACTGGACTGACAGGAGTAGCGATGCCGTTGTCACTACTCCTGTCAGCAGTGGTGCCCCTCTCAATGCAGCACCGGGGTAGATGCCCCCCCCCACCCCCACCTAGCTTTGGCCCTGCGCATACACATCCATTACTTATTGGGCTTTTAATCTATTTTTCATGACATTTCTTCTTACTGTGTTCTTCTGCCGCCTTGTAACCTCCTCCATGAGCTCCCGAACTGCTCCTTTTCCAGCACACTTCTGTTTGGAATGGGCAGTGCATGTTAGTTGCAGTCATGTCCACTGCTGTATGCACACAACACACCCCACAGCCCATAGAATTCTCAGGAGTAGGCAAGAGAGGGTGGCTAAGTTCCTGCACACAGTGGAACCATGGAGAACACGCTGTAACAGAAAGTCTGATCGCAACTGCAAAAAAAAAAAAAGAATGTGATGATTCGGAGGAGGCTGAGAGCAATAGAAGGTACTTTTTTGAGTTAAAGTGATTGTAAATGTGGAAAAAAAAAGTTTCTAAAAAATAACAAACATGTCATACTTACCTGCAACAATAGCTTTGCACATAGCAGCCCTGGACCTCCTCTTGTCAGGTCAAGGTGCTCTGGGTGCACATGTGCTTGCTCTCTCCATAAGAAACACAGAGCACCTACCTGCTCCCTCCTCACTGACTGACTGGCAGCAGTGGAAGCCAATGGCTCCCACTACTGTGTTTCAGCCAGTGAGGAGAGAGAGACCCAGGGGAGCCAAGGCTCCCATGCACATCGCTGGATCGAGATTGGGCTCAGGTAAATATAAGAGGGACTGAGAAGGGAGCTACACAAAAAAGTTTTTTTACCTTCATGCATAGAATGTATGAAGGTAAAATACCTTCAGCCTTTACAACCACTTTTAAAAATACATACTAGACTTTTTTTTTTTTTAAACTGGAGTTTAGTGTAATTTTAATGTCAGCATCTTTGTAAATGATATCATGTAGTAATTTCATATTTTTTTTTATAAATGTTAACTAAATTATGTATATAATAAAGAGACATGTCTAAAATGCAATAACATATTATTCCATCTGCAACCATCTCTCATATGTACAGTATACCTACAATGATCAAGTTTGACATTCTGTTCAAAAACAGTACTACGCTAAAACTAGTCTGCTTTTTCACTGTACTCATTTATGGAATGTGTTATAAAATGTAAGTTTTAATGAAAGCTGGTAAACTTGTACTGTTACGTGAGGTTGAATTATTCTGTCTTGGTGGTGCTTACTTACCCAGTAAGCTGTGTTTCATTTTGCAGTGTTACACTCTAGGCGTATCATTAAAACTGAAAGTGATGCTAAAGGCAAAACATTTTTACCTTAATGCATTCTCTTCTTTAGGGTAAAAAATGTCCCAGAAATTGCATCATTCCCTCATCTCCCTAAATACTTAGGGAGTTCTAGTTCTATCTCTCTCCAGCACTGTGCCCACCTGCAGAGGCGCTAGTCTCTGTTTCACTCATCACAGGACACAGAGGTGGCAGTGGGTGCCGTTGTCAATCAAATCCTGTAAGGAGGGAGGTAGCAGGGGGCAGGCCTGAGCTCTGCTGTGGGTGTCTATATATGCACACAGCCTGGGTCGGGAGCAAGCATGCATGTGGCTTGCTACGGGGGCACACACAGAAGAGAAGAAGCGGAGAATGCCAACAGGGTACCCCAGAAGTGGAGGTTCCCGGGCTGCTCTATGCAATACCCTGGCACAGAGCAGGTAAGTATAACATGTTTATTATTTTAGAAGAAAAAAATTAAATCTTTACAGTTACTTAAACTCCATGATGCAAAAAGCAAAATATGCATTTTATACAAATATACAATAGATACAATAACTCATTTATCTTTCAAATTAATTTTAGCAAATCTTGTGATCCAAGAACCCTTGTCAGGTGCTGAATCTTTTTGCAAACTACATTGCAGTTAACTAATACAATCTAGTCCAGAACACACCCCACCCTGCTGATTGGGCTGTAAAGATGGAGAAGCATAATGATAAGTCACCTGGTTGTCTCTCCTACTGGAAGCATTTTGCAGTTAAGCAGTAATATCTTGATTGGCTCAGTGTGCATTTCCCTCTCTGCAGATTACAAGAGTCTGTTATCAAGGTAGATGCTAATGCTGCGTAAAGTTGCATGTAATGATTCTAATTTTTTAAATAATTTTTAATGAGTACCTAACTCAATAAAATGTTTTCTTTTTTTTTATCTACCCAGAAGTCAGCTTTAAAAAATTGGATTGCACTACTGCAACTTGCATCCAAATTTGCTAATTAAAAGCTTTAAGATGTTTAATATTATTGTTAAGGAGATCCTAAGGTGTCCTTTTTCAGTAATGTGGTTTTTGCAGATTCAAAGCATTTAGAAATTTTTCAGAGAGTGCTGTAGTGTCAGAGGCAGGGGCGGACTGACCATTTCGAAACCCGGGCACTGCCCGACGACCCGGGGTCAGTAGGGGGCCCCATGAGGTGCCCCTGTTACCTTTTTCATAGGCTTTTTTGAGTTTGGGCAAGGACACAGGGGCCCCATGATTCCCTATTGCAAGGGGGCTCCATGAGTTGTCAGTCCGCCCCTGGTCAGAGGCCTCCCTTACAGTTGTATCAATCCCTCCATCTATATTAGATGGGGAGAGGGGGGCGTGTTTTATCATCTTAATACACGTCCTGTCCTAGGGTGACAACACTGCTCCTCTGTTGATAAAAATAATGCCTGAGTGTTGTCATTCAATAGGAAGTTTGTTACTGGCAGGATCACCAGGTGAAATAAAAGAAAAAAAAAATGGGAATATAAGAGGACTATCGTAGTAACCACATCCAAGGACTGGTAATCTGTACTATATTTCACTTTAAAACAATCATAAACTCTCAAGCAGTAACTAGCATTAAGCATTCCAAACAGGTATATACTGTACATAATCCTCCTGTTTCTTGCATGTAAAAATAAAGTGGCTAAATACCCTATTTCCCATCTATTGTACTGCGGCCATGTGATCTTTCCCTTCTCATTCCTGGCTGCAGGGAAAAATCAGTGGGAGGAGCATGTAGAAATCCAATGATGCATGCTAGTTCGTCATATAAGGAAGCCTGCACCAGCTTCCTGCGCTCATGCAGCACTGATTGGTCCTGTAGCGGTCACGTAAGATGTGTACACACCCACAAACCTGACTCAATGATCACATAGGTTGCCTACAATTGACAAAGGAGGAGGTGAATGGCTTCCTCCTTAGCTAAAGGTGGAGCATGTGCAGGAAAAGTGTCAATGGGCCATCCGTAGGATTCAGTACTGCAGCAGGGACAAAGACAATAAGGAAGCACCAGTGAACAGTAGCATCAACCAGGTTTTTATTGCTATATATAAAATGAATGTGTCAATACTATATTTAAACATATTGGAAATGTTTTGAGCTTTAAAGCTGAACTCCAGGCACAAAAACTTTTATTTAAATATACTCTTTAATGCTCCTAAAAAGATATAAAAGTAGTGGTGACATCATCACTATACTGTACATTTGCTGTCAGAGGTGTGGAAGGGACCCAACAGGCCCCACCCACTACAGAAGGCTAGAGGGAGGAGGCGGATACAAGACCAGTCACTCTGTACAAGGAGGAAAAGCAGCAATGACCATGTCTTTTTTAAAAGGAAGCTCCTGCACAGGGAAAGTTTCACACTGGATTACTGAACAGAATACACCGAGCATGCAAAGATTCAAGAAGGAACACACATTCCTTTATTTTGCTTATCCTGGAGTTCAACTTTAATCACCTCAAGTCCAGACACTTTTACTCCCTTTCAGTCCAGGCCAATTTTCAGCTTTCAGTGTTCTGACACTTTGAATGACAACTACTCAGACATGCAAGACTGTACCCATTTGAAATGTGTATCTTTTTTTTTAAAAAAGAGAAAGAGATTTTGTTTGGTGGTATTTAATGATGTCTGGGTTTTTATGTTTTGCTATATAAACAAAAAAATCCTGAAAAGTTTTGAAAAAAAAACCTTTTCCTTGTTTCTGTTTATAAAATTTTGCAAACAAATAATCGTTCTTCATAAATTTAGATCAAAATGTATTATGCTATATTTCTATATATCTGGTATATAAATAACCCAAATCAGTGTATGTTATTTAGTCTATGTGAGTGTTGTAGAGTCTACAAATTGTGGTGTATACATTATATTTGAAAATTGATCAGTCCTGATGTACTGACTGTGTATCTCATTTTTTGAGGCCCTAAAATGCAAGTATCGTGTAAATACCTTCCCCCAAATGACCCCTTTTTTAAAAAGTAGACAGTCCAAGGTATTTAGTAAGAGGCATGGCAAGTTCTTTGAACTTGTAATTTTTTGTTACAAATTTTTGGAAATTAAAAATATTTTTTTTCACAAAGTTTTAATTTTTACAAGTTTTTTCTCACACACACATAGCAATGCTTATAATTACACCCCATAATAAAATCTGCTGTTCCTTTTG